GTGATTGTGACTAACACTATGAATGTGACTGTGTGGGAGGAAATTTACTATGAAAAAATTCGGGACTGAACAAATGTGTGACTGTAAGCAAATGTGACTGTATGGGAGGTGACTGTATGGGAGGTCGACTGTATAACAGTAATTAATATCTAATAATATATTCAAACTTTTCTTTTGCATGAGAACGAAACCTGGAGAACAAAGTCTATATATCAATACAGCCAAGCAAGGATATGAGATTCACGTTCTCTTTTTTCTTGACAATTTAATAAAACCTTTACAGTATAAACATTTATTCGACAAGTACATAGGTTGTAATATTTAAATATAATGTTGTAAATCTATATGGCTTTGGTTAAAAATATTTATGTCTACCGGCATTTCCAAATTAATATTGGCCAGTTATATAATTTAAGTTGAAAAAAAAATGCAGAAAAAACAACGATAAGGTAATTAAATATATTGAAATTATTAACACTACTACATATATGGTCTGTTCAAGCATTTTAATCGTAAAATTAATTGTATAACAAAACTTTAAAAAATTTATAAGACTATTGTCACGTACGTTTGATAAATTTAAGATATATTAAAAGTTTGACCAAAAAATTTTAAAAAAAATGCAATAGAGTGACTGTTAGAGCAATGTATATAATTGCTCCGAATGGCTTCTGTTTTGCTTAACCGCCAACTTGCAATTCTTCTATCGATTATTCGTCTAGAAGAAAACCGTAGTTTAAAAGTTCGTGAAATGTACATAAATTAAGTTAATTACAATTAAATTACGTAACAACTTACACACCCAAGATGTAATTGTGAGAATGTAAAAGAAAATAAGGGGAGGGTTGTTCTCAACAATGAAATAAGGCTTAAAATATTCTAAATGTTGACGTTTGTAGCGTTATTTTAATTCATTATTAGAACAATTGACATTTTCTTCTTGACCCTCCTGTATAAGTCAAATAAAATAAATTTAACGTTAGATATTAATCCCGATGACCAAATATGCGATAGTTTACTTACGCAAAGGATTTTTTCTTTTCCGCGTTAAAATAATTTTTGGCTTGTAAAGGGGTCCTGCCCACTAAACATTTAACAACTTTACTCCATTTGTTGCCGTATTTTTTATGATTCTTTTTCAATATTTCTATTTCCCAATCCTCTAGAGGTTTCTTGTTAACTGTTAGAAGCAATAAAGTTGTTATACGCGTACAACCATAACATTGGTTTGACAGATAAATATATAAAGTTCTTACCATCCGGGTTTGCATGATTCGTCCATCTGAATATAATATAATAAAGCAATAGTTTTAGAAGTACAAACTTAAATATTAGGTATAATTGTGTACATTCAAGCGAAGAGCAGTCCTCACCGATCATAACAAGCTCTATTATCTCTTTCTTTAAGTTTTTCTGCAATTTTTGACCAACTTCCTTCGTATAGGTTGTGATAATAACGAAGCCATTCATCTTCCTAGAATTATTAATGGCATTTTTAGTTCAAGTATAGTAAACAAAACGTAGAATAAAGTCAGGGGGGAAACCTTAGGACCCCATTTTCTTCGCTCTTGAGTCTTCTTGAGAACATCAGCTTTGTTTGACACTTTTACTTTAGAGTAGGTCATGATAATAAAAGTCAGAGTTCGGATAAGTGAATTTTTATTATAATCAATTCGGACACCTTTTTCCGGCTCTTTTATGCACAGTCAAATGACGTTCTGTGTTACTGAATTATAATTCCAAAAAAGATCTGAAACGATGTAGAGAACCAGTAAAATACTGCATGTTAGAAGATGGCTCGAAAATATTCATGTTCACAAAAATGAGTTTCTAACACATTATTTGAAACCGACTTGTTCGAACGAAAAGGATGATAAATGCGATCTCTAATCTTTTCAACCCTCTGAAGAAGAACTTATGTTATACATCTCACTGAACAGGAATTATGTTTAATACGATGGAGTAAGACGACTTACGTTTAATTAAACAAGCTGTAATGTTATTATTTGTATCAAAACGGGTCACATCCTTTGTCGGCTCATAATGTAGTAGTTTTCCTTTGTGGTAAACATTTAATAACATTTTTAACCAATACAAGGTCAACCCCGATAAACCGAACCCCGATAAACCGAAAACCCCGTTTGACCGAACTTTTTTTGAAATCCGCATTTTTGCCTATTAAAATTACCCCGATAAACCGAAATTACTATTAAACCTCCATAAACCGTAAACCGAAGATTTTCTGAAACAAACATATCAAAATTTACCCCGATAATCCGAATAAAATAACGTAACAATTTATTTAAGCCAATAATATCATCCACCTTTGTAAACCGAATATTGAACCCGATAAACCGCATATTTCAGCCAATTATATTTGTCTATAGAATTTGCCTTTGTAAAACATGGCACCTAAAAGAAAACATACAACAATTAAGCTTGCTCGGAAAATTGAAATTTGCAATATAAAGTCTACAAATCCAACAATAAAAAACGTCGAGCGAGCGTCATAAGCGAATAAAGACTAATGTTTACGATATATATTATCTGGCAGTTCGAGCACTTACCCCGTTTATCCGAACATATGGTTTCCCTGAATATACACTTCGGTTTATAGAGCAACCCCGCTAATCCGAAACCCCGCTAATCCGAAGAAAAATTGCTGCACCGCCATCTTCGGTTTATCGGGGTTGACCTTGTATGAAGAGGCTAATATTAAGTCAAGTGAAAGAAAGTTATCTATAGTGGGTATAGAAAGGCGTATAATCATCTAACACACACAAACGATTCGGAATTTATAATATCGGAGAAGTAACTCAGCATAACAAATGTATTAGTATGGATTTCGTGCGACATTAGTTTCCTCATCAGTCGCGACAATTACTATTATTTGTTGGATAAATTCACTGAACTGGAATCCAACTCCGATTTTCATATTGGGATATTTTAGGTCTATTATTATAACATATTATACTATATGAGTTACGCGGTTTGACGAAAAGACTTGTTATTATGATGGGGTGAACCGTTTCATCCACATGTTATAGAAATAAAGTCCACTTAACGAACAGTCCACATGACGATGGAACGGAGCACTTCGTTAAACCGGACTCTACTGTGTATTTGTATTCTGTTGCAATGAGGTTAATTTGACGTCTAGTAAATAGTTAATACTTTAACCAGAGAGTATAAAGAGTTCGATATAAATAGCGCTTGTTGCGTTATACTTTTCTGGATTTTAGAAGGGAATAGCAGCTAATACAATTATGATTCTTATAATCGTCAGGCCCATAATGAATCGATGATGACAAGACCGTCATGTTAGCCCATCGCGTTCATAAATAGAGAGATTGCAGCATAGGTACGACATGCCCGAGGTTATCAGAATAAGGAAAGTTTCATATCATCAGCAAGTGATTTATTCCACTTAATGCAATTAATGCGCCGTCTACTCCAGTAGCCGAATCACACATGCGGTGGATTGCTTATGGCAATCAATGTTTTTATTCGTCATGTAGCTTGCTAGAAAGAATTTTCTGTTCGAAAAGGTTTGAATTATAAGCTTTATCGGTAATAAGCTGACCAAACCTAGTGAGCCGCAAAGTTTTGCTAAACAATGCGATATTGTTTGAAAAAACTCTTTTCTTCAATAAGATGTGCCAAACAACATTCTGACGAATTTTCACTTACATTGGCTCTTCTCATTAGAAAAAATACCGGATGGCAGGCTCCCAAGCAGTTTTGTCTTCGATGGATTTGCAATATTGACAATAGGTAAATTCCCCCTATACAGTCACATCAATTTGTGTAACAGTTTTTTGTTGTCGTATTATGTCATAGTAATAGAGCCGTAATTTTACATGTATCATACCGCGTTTCGAGCTTTGTTACATCATAAATGTAATGGATAAGTGCTGTCGAAGAATTATAAATTTTTATATAAACAACGAGGCGTCACATAGTTCCATAGTTTTCCCAATGTCCTTACGTCAACCAAAGAAAAGAGTTCAATTGAGTATTGATAATAAGCGCAAAATTTGTGAATATGCAAGACAACATCCTACTTTAAGTCTGGTGAAGAAATACCACGTGTGCAATTAAAAGAGACTAAACGAAGCTTAGAAACTGCAATTAGATATATTGAACAACAGTCGGATGGTGTAGGAATTGACAGTGATTTGCGTATTTTTCGTAAATACTTAAATTTGCTGGGCCTCAAAGAACTTGAATCAAAATATCAACAAAAATTGATAATTATTTATGAAACAACTTTAGCTTATACCTTATAACTTATATATTATAACCCTGTACCAAGCTAATCTTATTAAATAAATATTTTGGAAAATTTTACATTTGGTTTATAGATTACATGACTACAGGCCAACCTCCCATACAGTCACCCCTCCTTAAAGTCATTGGTTTTGGTCATTCCCAACAGTGTGACTGTATGGGAGGTTGGCTGTACAGTAACTATCGCGAGGAACTTTTATTCACAACGAGGTGCTCGCTAAAGCCCAATTTAAGTTGTTTACAGTAACTGGATCATAATCACCATCAAAAAATGTACGGACACATGACTGCAGTGCTGCGTTAAAATTCATCCTATAATTAGATGTCTGTGTGACGCACGAAAAAACTTTTATTCATAAAACTTTTTGTTCTCTAAGCACATACCGGGCGGTACTCCTAATTCACATCATGCTCATTCCAAAGAAGAACCGCAGAGAGATCTACGAAAGTCTCTTCAAAGGTACAGTTATTTTCCACAACAGCACATGTATCTTCACATGGCGTATCGTTCACACAAGTCTTTACGCTCTTCTCCTCTCATGTCAGAGGGAGTACTCGTAGCAAAAAAAGATTTCAATGCACCAAAGCATCCAGATATCGATGTACCAAATCTCCAAGTAATCAAAGCATGTCAGAGCTTAGAATCGCGCGGTTATGTGAAGACTCAGTTCTCCTGGCAATACTATTATTACTCATTGACTAGCGAGGGGATCGATTATTTGAGAGAATATTTGCATCTGCCGCCAGAGATTATCCCGACAACATTGAAGAAACAGGCTCGACCTCCACCGCCGATGAGAGGTGGTCGTTCTGGTTAGTTGATGAGCGATGCCTTACTTGTTAAATTTAGTGAAGTGTATGGGGGCAAATAGAAAGCTATGCAATTGAGACAACTCTTTGTTGACATTTTGTGCGGATTATGGTATTATGGACAGTAGCTTTATTAGAAGATTTGCTATTCGAACTTTCATATCGATTTGATAACAGCTGTCGGATTCATAACAAATCTTGATTTTTACACAAGACCTAACTCCCTACAATTGTTTTCAAATTTCTATATAGAAACCGAAGGAGGCGACAGCTATCGAGGGCCACGAGATCGTGATACCTATCGGCGTCGCGATGATAACAAAGAGGGAGCTTCAGGTGACTTTAAGCCTGAATTTAAAAGACGTGGTCCAAGGCCATCAGGAGATAACTGACCAAGAAGTGCGTAACCCATGGCGGGACTTATCCTGATTAAAAAAGTAATGAAATGCAAACAGTAGAAAATGACTTGCGGATGTTAACTAGACAGCACATGTTTCCAAAAGCTCGAGAATCAACTAGCCAAATACCCCAACAATTGGCAGCAATGCCTATTTTTAATGTTGTTTCAACTCAAGTTCGGAACAATCTGAACAAATAAAGACCAAATTAAACTCACCTGAATATGTGACAATGCCAAGTTTTTCATTAAGCGAACATATAAAATTGGAGAGTTGTGGGCAATCCTTTATACTTCTTAATCGGGTCTTGGGCTAAATAATTTTCTACTTACGCTTTTATTCGGCGGGCAATGGTAAAATCTATTTTCTCTAACATTTCGTCATTTTGTCATTTTTAGAAAAATTCCAAAACTAACTGTAAGGCATCTTGCTCTCCTAAGAGTTTCAAAATATTCCCATAAAGTGATACTTAATTATTTTCCTACAATTGCGGAGCGAGATATTTTATTCCTGGCGACGTAAAACCAGCTTTGTGATTCGATAGGTGTGAGACCTGCTTAGCTCGCCTGAACGCTATCATAATGAGAGATATATTTGATGAGAGAATGGATAAGAGAGGTGGTTTAGAATGAATTGAATACAAAACTTTGTGATTTCATGTACTTCAAATCCGAAGCATTGAAAGGCGGTTTTAGTAAAACCGTAGGCTCAAACTCTATTGTCCTTTTGTTATAATCGAGCGTCTAACTCGTTGGCATCACCTGTTAAAAGTACAATTACATCTTTCTCAACAAGAGTAAGCAAGCGATCGAATCGAAATTGATATGTCACTTGAATTAGTTCGATGGCATATGCCTTATGAAAATAGACATTTTCCATTAGTTTTTGCTATAAAATACGATCATCGTCAAAGAGCCATAAAGATTATATCTTATTAAAGCGTATAGCTTGAAATGATGGGAAGTATAATAGATCGGGAAAAGACACAAGACATAATATAATGTATAGGCACGTTAACATTCATGCAGTTCTTTATACTTATCAATGACGCGTTCTCTGGTATATAATAACATTAATCCCATATCGTTTCGGAATATCTGCCTCTTATCCCGTAGACATTCTCATGGCATTACGATTGTTATTCGCTTAAATGGAAACGCATTTGGATAAATACAAGCATACTGCAACTTATAGGTTTCCGTTTTAGTGTCTACAAAAGTCGTGATTAGTAACGTCTGGTTAAACGTCGTTATATTAACTATGATAGGAGAAGTTTGAGAGATGGTTAAAAATCCAAGAGTTGACGGATCCTACGATTGTTGTTGGTACGTTTTTACGCTATTTGTCGAACAGGATTGAAGATAATACTTTTGTTAGGAATTCCCCAACAAATGCAACAGATTCGAACGGCAGTAAAGGAAGACAGAAGAAACTCTTTTCCATCCAAACAGTACTGCGCTTTGTGGTTTGGTTATTATTATTCATTATCTGTACGTTTGTCATCGCAAAGTTATACAAATAACTAAACTAATACTGCGTAACAAGAAGACGCGGAGTGGATACACGTGCGATATATGCTGAATATACATATATACTATGGCATAAACAATATGTTACTGTAAAGTCAGTGGATTGTCATTAAATAAACCATTTGCGACAGAGTTTATAATATTAAATTACAATGCTGTAAATTCATATGGCTTAGTTTATTAAATTTCATTTTAAAAACATTATTATCTGCCAGCGTTTCTAAAATAATAATTGCCGACAAAAAAAATGTGTTCGTATAAATTGAAAAAAAAAAAATCGATGATGAAAACAACTAAGAACATTAAAATTATACATATTGCTACATACATAGTTGCTTCAAGCATTTTGACCGTAAAACAAATAGTGTTATAATAACAAGCTCTAAATAAATTCGTAAAATTGTTCGAAGATTGTTCAAGATTCATTGTGCGTAAAAAAGCGAGATATATTACGTAGTTTGACGATATTAAGATACGATGTTGAATAAAATAAAAGTTTGACCAAAAAAGTTAAATACGCTCATAGCTAATAAAGCAATGAAGCAATTATCAGAAATGTATATAATTGCTTCTCGAATGGCGTCGGTATTGTTCAATTGTCGCTTGCGACAGTGCAATTAAACAAAAATCTTCTGTCCGATTATTCAGTCTTAAAATAAATTGTAGTTGAAAATTAGTGAAATTGTTACAATCAATTCGACGCTCTTGAATATGACGTTGGACTTACACAATAAGATGTACCGTAATGTCTATGTAAGATATTGAAACAAAATTTTTAGGCGGTGCGGATTCGTAGCTTGTTGTTTTCAACAATGAAATAAAGGCCTAAAAGTTGACGTTTGTAGCGTTATTTTAATTCATTATTAGAACGATTGACATTTTCTTCTTGACCCTCCTGTATAAGTCAAATAAATAAATTTAACGTTAGATATTAATTCCGATGACCAAATATGCGATAGTTTACTTACGTAATGGATTTTTTCTTTTCCGCGTTAAAATAATTTTTGGCTTGTAAAGGGGTCCTGCCCACTAAACCTTTAACAACTTTACTCCATTCGTTGCCGTATTTTTTATGATTCTTTTTCAATATTTCTATTTCCCGATTTTCTAGAGGTTTCTTGTTAACTGTTAAAAGCAATAAAGTTGTAATTATTGGTATACGCGTACAACCATAACATTCGTTTGACAGATGAATATATAAAGTTCTTACTATCCGGGTTTGCATGATTCGTCCATCTGAATATAATATAATAAAGCAATAATTTTAGAAGTACAAACTTAAATATTAGGTATAATTGTGTACATTCAAGCGAAGAGCAGTCCTTACCGATCATAACAAGCTCTATTATCTCTTCCTTTAAGTTCTTCTGCAATTTTTGACCAACTTCCATCGTATAGGTTGTGATAATAACGAAGCCATTCATCTTCCTAGAATTATTAATGGTATTTTTAGTTCAAGCATAGTAAACAAAACGTAGAGTAAAGTTGGGGGGGGGGGGAACCTTAGGGCTCCATTTGCTTCGCTTTTGAGTCTTCTTGTGAACATCAGCTTTGTTTGACACTTTTACTTTAGAGTAGGTCATGGTAATAAAAGTCAGAGTTCGGATAGTAAGAACTAGACAGACGGTTGGTTAATAAACGTCCCTTCTTTTTATAAATCTGTCGGTCGCATGGCTTAAATTTTAGGAAACGAAAATGTAAATTGACTTATTTGGTAATAAACATCTAATACTTTACACTAAAAGAAGCGACGTGCAATACATTTTATGCATGGGTAATGCATTTGACTATCTGTAATGTAACCAATCGGGAGATAGGCATCATGTGATAACTACATGCATAGATGTTTTGCTGTCGCCGCAAGTTTACTAAGCAATGTCTTTATACGGTATTTTATTGATCATATCCCATTCTATTCTTGGACAATGAATATTGGAAAAAATGGAATTTTGGCTCGCACGACATGTCTAACGGTATATGTGATCAACACACTTGTGCATGTAATTGGTCAAAACTGTTTCTCGTTCTATTTTTTTTTTAATCCATTCGTCTACATAGCTAAATCAGACTAAACTTGGGGGTAATTACAAATAGTTATACTTGGCAAAATACATCGAAAGGAAACTATTGTTAGCAAAATGAAGCTGCAGGGGCCAAGAAGAATTCGGAACATCGAACTGTTAAATTATGTTATTCACTAAAATGTTACACACTACGGCTTGTAATTAAAGCAAGAAATTGTTTTCAGCTTTGCAGACTTCTTTGACATATTGCGTAAAGAGATATTCTATCATTGACAATTGAACACTTTACTTCAAGAGTAACACCGGGACAAGCATGTTGCTAATTGCAAAGCTCGAGCCATCAACGATTACCGCTCTCGCAATGTATTGAGAGATCTGTAATGCATAGTGTAATGCTGTGTGACAATGTCTGATTTCCGATATGCTGCCTAATTTGGATAAAGGCACTTCTCGTTTTTTTTTTCAAGAGATAGTAAATAAATCACAATATATATATATGGATATGTATATACGTGTTTATATTCCGGTGTGTACGCAAGCGTTGTATTGGTTGCGCATAAAAAGCCGCACATGAAAACAAAATTTCCGTTTGTGCAACGGCTTCTTTACATATTGCATACAAGCTCACAATCGAACAGACGTCTTTATTGTGAGCACATTCTTATGTTTGGACTACAACGCCACCTAGACAAATTTTTTGGAAAGTCCCATTACACGGTCAAAATTTTGCATGAATAAAGTTGACCAATTACCTGTTTGTATCAATTCCCAAGTCGAAATTTGCGGCACTGAGAAACCCTGCGAGGTTTAACTAACCCCAAATTTCATTACATGCAAAATTATAATTTCCAAGCCGTTGGCTGAAGAAATGTTTGGTCACGGATGCCATATATGCCGCAATTAAAGAGTAATCGTATTAAACGTACTTATAATATATTTCTTTTTCGACAGTAACCAAAATTACAAAAAATTAACAATTGTCTTATCACGTTATATAGACTTTTGTAACATGACAAGAACTACTAAGTTGGTGAGTTCTATAAAAACTAAATGTACAACTGTTTACTTCTGAAATAAAAGGGTTAAAAGTAATTTATTGAATCTGACAAATACACGCCTGCCAACATACGCTTAGAATTTGTAACATGCGGTGAGAAATATAAATGCATATATTTGTAAATGAGAAATTCAAACCTCTTACAACTTTGCACTATAAACTCACAATGTTCTAAGACTGTCGAGAACCTTTCAACGCTATATTTTAAAAGTATAAAGTTAAACTTGTTGTAAATACAATAGTGTGGATACAAGCGGTTATTTCTAATTAATAATGTAAACACTATCTATTATCACGTTTATTCAATTGTATTGGCGCAAGAAATTATGATGAACGATAAGAAATAAATAACCAATAGTATATTACAAAATTTACATGGGCGTAAAGAATTTTTTCTCAAATTTCCCAACTTCACAACAGGTGTGCATGTAAAAAGCATATTAGGAATGACGTGCGTTTTAGCATTCGGGAAACCCATGTGACAGTAGCACAATTTAAATAATTACTTAAACAGTTAGGTGTATGCTGCAAGTGAGGGAGTCGAAAATTTACGCAAAAATTCGGTAGTAGTAGTAGTAGACTTGTTTAAATTTTTACACCAATAATATCTGTAAAAGTCACAGGCAGCTATCGGTTTTTGTATATAGTATACAATATCGTAAATATGATCTTGTAGCTGATAAAAATAATTAATAATAAGGTTACCATTCATATAATGAATTGCCTTTGTAAGTAAATTTTATTGCGGGTTGTATTCTTGTAATAATTGAGTACTACCAAATTGTGCATTTATTTACTTACTTTTTTTTACTTATTGTTGATTCTTGTATTTTTATACGTGTTAAAAAAGTATTGAACCAAACCAACGCCAGAATAGCATTGTACCGATCCTGTTCTAGAAACCTTTAAACTGTCCGGTTGGCGACCTTTGACATCAAAAAGAGTCCGAGTGATTTAGTTAGGCCGAATAATTTGTCACCAATGAATGCAATGAATTGTGCCGTATGCATAAATGTTTATACAACTTTTTTTACCATCAAACCATACACATTTCATCAATAGATTCAATGTTATTTAGTCCCCACACTTTTATTTGTGTCACATCAGAGTTCCATTTGTATGGTGTATATTCGGTAAGTTGTAACAAAGCCGAATATACCCCTTTGTTTAGGTTTATGTGGGGCACATACTTATAGAATCATTGATTGCAAGTAAAGAAACTTGTATGAACGTATTTTGTTTGGTCATTAAGGTGATATGGCATGTGACTCTAATCCTTTGTTGGGTGGCCCTAGAGAGTGACCGTAACTAAAAAATATGTGTTAAACGCTAAGGGGCGGAGACAAAGTAAACTCAGACCACAACAGAAGCGAACTTGTCCAGAACACTGTTTTTTTTTAAGAAACATTGTACACGTTCGGCTTCTAGATATTTAGAATTCGACTTGTTCGCAGTGTATTATTGTAAATTCGGAACATAACCAATGACGATAGGCTGTATGCAGAGACGTTTTATGTGCGATATTGTAAATGTATATTTTTCAGATCATTTCACGTGATGTCATGAATAGAGTAGCAATACATTCGTTACGCTGATAACATAGAGGATTCCATTTTAGGCGTTGATCAGGGAGCTGTATAAATAAACTTGGGAATTCTGTTGGAAGCTTTTTTTCTTATTAAAAAAATGCGTCGCTCCGTTACGGAAGAGGTAAGCTCAGCACAGATATATTATTTATTTTTTATAATATTCCTCTGACCCAAACCCGTTGCGCATTTCGTGTCGTCCATTTTCGACGTCTAAATACAGGAAAAACGATACGTAGACTCGTTTGCTCGCATTTATAATCGCGACTGGTTTCTTGTCCGCAGAAAAATGTTTAACGTAACGGGAATAATTAGGCCTCCAAAGTTCTATCGAGACCTTTATTAGTACGTATATTGATATATAAAACTTTAAAACCGGGGCTAAAGAAATAATAGAACACTGGCAGTTTTAATATAAAAGAGGTTTTGTTTTATTTAACTAATAAGCTTTGCTATATCTAACTAATAAACTCTGCTACTTTTGATTTTTGTTGTTTTTTTTAGTCGAGAAATCTTGATTTAATCGTTGTGCAGTGTATACGAAAATCCTATACGCCTACCTCGTTGTCAAATCTGCGCGCAAGCTGCCGTCTATGGGATGTTTCTTGATATTGCAGCCCAACACATTTTCTATGAAGTGCAAACCCGGGTACATTTTGTATCTATTATTGTAAATAGAAACCGTTTCTTCCAATAATCACGACAAGTTATGATAATATAATCGGTTTCTTTTTGTCTAAGTCTTCCAATAAGAATTAAGTCTCTACTTTGTATAAAACATATAATATGATGTGTTCTTTTTTGCATGTGTAAAGTAAACCTACCATGATATATATTTAATTTCAGCTACGTAAAGATCGCAGATCAATAAATGACACTGACGAAAGAATTTTGAGTTTCTTAGAACCACTTCATCCGCTTGCTTACACGCTTCTGTGCTTTCATGTTTGGTCCTGAAACAGTAATAGCGTTTGTTTTGACATTTATGATTAATCGATAATCAATAAATTAACATCAGTATTATACAATAAGCATGGCATGTTGGTATTCGACAATTAAGATCCACCAATCAAAAATATAAACCTTCAGTCGCCGTACTGTATTTCTCATGTTCTTGTGTTTTGTTCACTACGGCTTTGAGCATTTTACTTCATCTCTCTCTCTCTCTCTTAAATAACTTTGTTCGGTGCACCAAGTAGTCTTTGATACTTTGGAAAATAATCTATGAAAACTTGCGCATAATGTTAAACATAATAGTAATAGTTAATAAATGCAGTAGAAATTAAATAAACAAAACTTAATAATGATACTTTTTATTTACGTGTTGAATGATATCTTTGAACGGTCGATGGCCGTGATTGTGTGAATGTCTGACGCTGATAGATGTCTTAAAAAACCGACAAAAGTTGGAATCTCGCCGAGGTCAAGGAGAATAAACTCACTTCAAATGTTCTGGTAGATAGTAATTTCGCATGTTGGGCATGTTCCTGAAACACCTATGACTGACTGTTACGTTAAAATAAAAATTTTTACGGTTACAATATTAAAGATTTAATGACTAAATTACCTACCGTTGATATATGGTACGTTTTACGATGTCATAGAAGACATCAACCTAAGGTTAATAAACACAGACATCAAAACGTAAAGAGCTTAATATCAATTACGGGGATCCCCGATTGAAAATTGATACTAAGAAATAAAGACAATTTGGACAGATAGTAATTCAATAATGACAATGCCAGAAAGTCGAGCAGTATGGCTAGCCGCAGATGATAATTACGACAGGATTACTTTGCTACGATGCATAGGAAAAAATATAAATATTCAAAGAAAACACTCATCATATATAATCCATCCCATCCCGTTCGTTGTACCATGACGATGCACACATTTAAGCCGAATATTCAGACCTA